CGTTGATCGGACATTCGGGCGTAGCGGAGCATACGGCGTCGCCGCGCGTAGGTGAAGCCTGGCACCCGGACCGGTCTCCACTGCGTGCTTGGCCTGCCTTCTCAGCGAAGGCCCTTGCGGCCACTTCTCTCTTTCTCACTCTCGTCAGCCACTCTTCCTTGGTTTCTTCGTATCAGTCTGCTGTCCGTTGTGGTCTCCTCTGAGACTTGGGAGAGGAAAGGAGAGAGGCCTCGTGATGGGGTTAACTCCGAGAAGGGGCATCAATGTTTCACAGTTACGGGCGTTTTTTTGGTCGCGCTGCGCCCTGCCTTTTCACGCGGTGTGACTGTTCCGCGCAGCGGGGGACTTTGGATGCTGCGTCCACAGCCGCGAGCTGCGACTGTCTTCTGTCTGTGTCTGCCTGTGTGCATGTCTGCAGGAGCGGAAGTGTCCGCTGCAATGCTGCTGCTGCTGCTGCCCCCACTCTCTTTATCGCTGTGCGTATCTCCCCTCCCTCTCCCCTGCAGCGCTCGATTCTCTTGTAGGGGGCCTAGCCGCCCCTTCCCGCGCCACAGCGCATGGTCATAATGCACTCCCGTGCACCTCTTGCCGCACTGCTCCATGTATATTGCAAGCACTACTGTCAGGTGCTGCTCTGCGCCCTTGTTGCTGTGCTGTTGGTGCTGCTGGCCCTTGTTCCAGCGAACACCGGCACACCTGTGCAGAAGATGCTTACCAGCCCGATGCAGGGCGGTGCGTGGGTGCGCTCGCCAACGGCGGCCCCAAGGGTTGTATTTGTTGTTGCTCAGACAGGCTACTCCCCCGGCTGGTGCAGGATGATGCTGAGCGCTATTGTCTCCCGCGTGTCGGTCGTATCGATTGGCTTTGGGGGAAATTACAGCCACACTGTCCGTATATCTTGGCTGCTGAACTACATGGAGGAGGCGGGCCTGCGGGACGAGGACGTGGTGGTGATGTTCGACGGCGGTGACACTTTTTTCACCAGGCCCCTTTGGGCAAAAGAGGCAGTGAAGGACTTTTTGGCAAAAACGGCGCCCAGCGCAGACGCCTTCAACGCCACGGCGGTGCATCGAGGTGAGGCAAGTGCCCCCATGCTCTTCTCGACGGAGCCAAAGTGTTGGGCACCGCAGGTAGACCTCGTGGTCCCGTCTGGACCCGAAGAGCAGTACGAGCGGTGCCGTTGGTTTTACGAACGCCTGTGGAAGGTCGCGAACTCTTCTGCAGACCAGCGCTTGGTGCAATCGCCGCCTTCGGGGTTTCGCTACCTCACTGCTGGATTAATGGTGGGGCGTGTGTGGGCGATTCGAGAGGCGTTCAAGGCCTACGCGAGCCTTTTGGCGAAGAGTGATAAGTGGTGGTGCGACCAGACCATCTGGGCGCTGTTGTTTGTGTGGAGCGTAACTCAGGACCCCGTTGTGGATCCCGCCCTTCGCACGCGGTACGGCCTTCTGAGCCTTGACTACAACAACTCCTTCCTTCTCATTCCGCGCTACACGCCTTTTGGGTCTCCGGCGATTATTCATTTTGCCGGTCCGATTTATATTTGGTGGAGGCTATTGCCAATTTATCTGAACTACACAGACTGGTTTCAACCGCTGCGACAATCCCCCACCTTTGCTCAGGAGGCGAGGGACTTACTGCAAACAACCACTGTGGCAGTGTTCGACGTCAAGGGGCGCGAAAGTGCAACCCGCTTCTCTGACGTCTGCTCGTTGAAGGACGTTCTCGACCCCCAATGGCTCTCCCGGACGCTGGAGAAGGTGCCTGGGATGTAGGCGTCGTTTCTTTTCTGGCAGGCCACGAGGTGTGTGTGTGTGCGATGTATAGATTGTGTGTTTCTTTTTTGCTTTAGAGGCCAAAGGGAATAAATGTGCGACTGCAAGAGGCCAAATAATTACAAGGGAGGCTTTGTTTAACTCCCGTGTTTTTTTATTCATTTATTGGTCTGATTTTCTTTTTTTCAGCGATACTGCGGGGTAAGGCAGTGAGTGCGACGCTGTTTTTTCTTGTTTTTTTTTCACCCTCCCTCCCTGGCTCCTTCTGCTGCTGCTGCTGTCCCCCACCCGGAGGGGCCTGCAGACTGCCACTTTGTGGCTTCAACACAAGCCTGGGGATTAGGGGGCGTGTGCTTTGGCCACACCTTTTTTGTTTGCCGACTTGTGTGGCTGTGGGGGGCAAGTCTGTGCCAAAGTGGGAACTGCTGGGCGCATGGAGCCAAACTGCCCCCTCCCATTGCGGTGCCTTCCCTCCACAGCATGAGCGGGGAGGCGCCATCGGGCGCATATTCCTTTCTTTTTGTTCTTTTCCACGCTTTTTCTGTAGCTTGCCGTTGCGTTGACTGCGGTGCCGCCTCCAGCCTGACTGGCCCTCGTCCACTCCATCCTGCCTATCGGCTGTGTGCCTGTATCTGTGCGCCCTCACATTCCTTCCACGTCTTCTTTTCGTTGCGTAGCGGCGGGCACAGGAGTCTGCGCTGCAAATATATTGCTCTGCACTTGGATGAGGCTTTCGTAGGCGGTGCTGGCAGTGGCGGTGCCGCGTGGCTGCAATGACGAAAAGTAAGATGCACAACGAGCAAGTCAGGAGGAGGAGGGCGCTGTGGCTCACTCGCTCCTTCCCTGCGGGTGGGCAGTCGCCTGGTGTGCTCTGCCCCTTCTCACCTCAGCGGATGGAGGCACAAAATGCCACCGCAGCGAGGCGGTGTCATTTCCCACCGTGAGTGGGTGGCGTCTGCGCGTAGCCGCACAAACGCACACACAGAGAAATGCGAATGGCGAGTGCAATGCGAGCGAAGAGAAGGCACACTGTCGCAGTTGTCGTGTGTCCTGCGCTTCACGTGCACACATCTCCTATGCGGGGAGGAGCCAACGTCGT